TTATAGCAAATTACGGTATATTAAATAACCAGGAAATTAAATAAAATTTAAGAAAAATGCTTGTTCTATTATCTGAAAATTCAATCATCCCGACAATCTCTTCACGGAGTCAGATGCCAGAGTTTTTCGTGTTTCGAAAAATGTATACTACGATAGTCGCAATCTCGGAGAGAATAAAATTCCATTGTAAAAATCTGGTGTTTTAGAATATTCATATCTCTCTAATGCAAGTGAGATTTTTACCACTTTGCAGAATTGGAAGAATCTCACCTACCATACGATATATGACAGTAACTAAACTGATATATAAAAGTAATTGTTTGATTTACTTATCTGATAAGCATCGGATTTTTTGTTTTCTTTCTAAACGTACGTATGTAAGTATCTACAGAGTGATTCAGTTACATCGGTCGCATTAAATCGCTTGTAAACTGTTTCCATCAAAAGTCACGCTACACGGTAATTAGCTTTTTACTATTTCGCCTTTCGATTCGGATACGAAGGTCACCGCGAGTCTTTCTATTTTTTTACAGTGATTCAAACAGCAACGTGTAACTGTCAGCTATTAGCAACGTATAAAATGTTCGTTTTCTCCGGTTAAGCTAAATATGATTTTGCTTTTGAAGCCGCGCTAACCTTTTAAACTTCTCGGTCCAAGTAATTGGCTATATCTTTAAAATTCCTCTGCCTTCGTCATAGAAAACCTGTTCCTATTGTTCCTATAATGCTATTTCGGAGAAATATCTTGATTCCGAGTCTTATAGAATATTCGTGTCCTCGTTCTTCAATTTGAAGCTAGTCTCGCTAGAAAAAGATTAAGAGAACCGAGAACGATTAGCATACCCATCGCCAATGCCTCTTTCAAACTCTACATTAGCATTATATGCAGCTCTGATAGTAGAATTATTAGTCTTAAACTCAGATGCGAGCTTGAACTATGATTTACAATTACAAGTGGCAGTTTTATTGCATATCGGCCTTGAAAGATCCATTTAATTGCGCCATCGTATCTTGTCACACGTAACTATGATAATTACGAAGAAAAAGTCGCCGCACTTCGAGATTTATATAACATGTCGTTAAAACACATCTTATCAAAATTATCAAGCGCCTAAATATCGTCCGGAACGACAGTTTCCGAATTTCGCGCAGCAGAATTTGCTGGACCAAAGCGAGCGAATTAGGTGAATTGCCCTGTACCTCTGCCATTGTCACGTAGGAGACACAAGAAATCACGAAATTGACTCCTCGCGTCGCAGTTCGAACGTTTTACCTATGGAGGAGGTGTCGATGGGGGTGTCGCCGGGGCTCAGGTCAGAAATGGTCATGCTGTTACTGTTTTCTGACACTGGAACACCCTCTACGTTGCCGTTTCGATGGCCTGCGGGATGTTCGTTAGACCCCCTTGGTTTTTCTATTGCGAATTTATGGCTTGGTGACACTATCTATGCTGCAGCTGTTGCAGCTGTTTTAATTAATCAAAGGAAAATTTTCTCACGAAGATGTTCGACCTGTTATCGTAGAAAATTTGTATTACGTTGTCCCAAACGTTTCTTTCGTTTCATAAGTGAAATAATAAATGCACAACATTTTTTATTTTATACTATTTTATAGATTTACGTATGATCCATTAATAGAATAAAATAGATCAGACATAATTCAATAAAATAACATAAAACAAAAAAGGTTGTGCATTTACTACTTCCTTATAAAACGACAGGAACTTTTGGGACAACCTAGTATTTCCATAACGAATGTGTGGTGCAAAAACACTTTGAAATTTCATTAGCACCGTAGTGAGGCGCGTCTGTCATGATTATATTGATGGAATTTGCAAGCAGTCTGCAAATGTAGGAATGACAAGATGTTTATTTCTCAGTGTTACATATGCCGACAGCTAACTAATTCTTTAGCGAATGCGATGCTATTGTCACGTAGGAGACGCAAGAAATCACGAAATTGATAGATCACCGGTGATCTTCTCGCGTTGCAATTCGAAGGTTTCACGAATAAGGTAAAGAATTAGACTTTAGATATATTTAGTGGTAAAATTTATTGTACGAATCCAACAGAGCGACGGTTCAGAGTGTTAGAACAGAGAATGTCGAGAGCTGATTTTAGGAAGGTTTATATACTATGGGTTTAGCTTCTATGGAGGAGGTGTCGATGGGGGTGTCGCCGGGGCTCAGGTCAGAAATGGTCATGCTGTTACTGTTTTCTGACACTGGAACACCCTCTACGTTGCCGTTTCGATGGCCTGCGGGATGTTCGTTAGACCCCCTTGGTTTTTCTATTGCGAATTTATGGCTTGGTGACACTATCTATGCTGCAGCTGTTGCAGCTGTTTTAATTAATCAAAGGAAAATTTTCTCACGAAGATGTTCGACCTGTTATCGTAGAAAATTTGTATTACGTTGTCCCAAACGTTTCTTTCGTTTCATAAGTGAAATAATAAATGCACAACATTTTTTATTTTATACTATTTTATAGATTTACGTATGATCCATTAATAGAATAAAATAGATCAGACATAATTCAATAAAATAACATAAAACAAAAAAGGTTGTGCATTTACTACTTCCTTATAAAACGACAGGAACTTTTGGGACAACCTAGTATTTCCATAACGAATGTGTGGTGCAAAAACACTTTGAAATTTCATTAGCACCGTAGTGAGGCGCGTCTGTCATGATTATATTGATGGAATTTGCAAGCAGTCTGCAAATGTAGGAATGACAAGATGTTTATTTCTCAGTGTTACATATGCCGACAGCTAACTAATTCTTTAGCGAATGCGATGCTATTGTCACGTAGGAGACGCAAGAAATCACGAAATTGATAGATCACCGGTGATCTTCTCGCGTTGCAATTCGAAGGTTTCACGAATAAGGTAAAGAATTAGACTTTAGATATATTTAGTGGTAAAATTTATTGTACGAATCCAACAGAGTGACGGTTCAGAGTATTAGAACTGACAATGTCGAGAGCTGAGTTTAGGAAGATTTATATACTATGGGTTTGTCGACGGGGGTGTCACCGGAGCTCAGGTCAGAGATGGCCACGCTGTTGCTATTTTTTTTTTCTGCGGGATATTCGTTAGACCCCATTGGTTCTTCTATAGTTAATTTATGACTCTGACACCATCAAAGCCCAATTTCTTCGTCGGTTCCTAGCTTCCTTATTGCTTCATCATATCCTATCCTACGTAACTACGATAATCCTGAAGATCAAAGTCGTTGCATTTCGAGATTTACATAAGATCTCCTTAAAACACATCTTATCAAAATTATCAAGCGTCTGGACATCGCCTGAAACGACAGTTTCTGAATATTCGCGCAGCAGGACTCGCTGGCATAAAGCGAGCGAATTAGGTGAATCGCCTTGTACCTCGAGTTTCTATACCCGCCATCAAATTCTCAATTTCTTCGTCAATTCCTGGCTTCCTTATTGCTTCGTAATATTCTATCGCACGTAACTACGGTAATTGAAGAGTGCTGGTAAAAAATTGCTGTAAATGGGAAGAAACAAGTCTTCAGGAAAAAAAGGAAATCTTATGCGTTAACGTAGCCCAAATTGAAGGGAAAGAAAAGTGCGTCTGTAGAAAAGCCTGTGCGTGTCAGTTCTTAGTTGTAGACAAAACTCGATGACCCATTCGTTTGGATAGACCACATAGACAGAAGCAATTGACAGAAGCAAGAAACAATTGACTAATGTTTATTGGTATTTGTACTTTTTTCTACAGAGACAACATCGTGATACCGTCTTCTAACATTATTAATAACTACGATATTGAAAAGGGGAAATTGCAGTTGAATTCTACGCTACAATATTCTCATTGCTAAGTGGAACATTTCCCAATAAAAGATCAAAGTTTCTCAATTTTGGCACCTACAGTGTTTTCAGCGAGCACTGCTCAATTATAAATAAAGTGTTCCAAAAATCGCACAAGTGTAACTAAAAATTGTGCAAATAAAATGTAAATAGAAGACGTAGAAATCGAACCGGATATCGTCTTCAACGAATAGTGTACGAATATTCGCACAGAAGAATTTATCAAATTCAGAAATGATCGAATTAGGTGAATCAGTCGATACCTCTAAAGTTTCTATACTGTGTCATTAAATCCCCAATTTCTTCGTCAACGCCTCAGGAAGCCTATTCCTGAATCGTCCGTATAAGGAAGCTTTCGAAGCAGCCCGCTGGAAGCTTACACGACGTCGGGAAACGCGGCAGCGGATAATTGGGCCAATTAAATGTTAATGGAGCCGCGTGACGCGAATGTTAATGTCGTTCGGTTCGAACGATCATATTCGTTTGCGCTGCGTGGCGACGCGTTTGTTTTTCAGCCAGTGGCGGTGCGCGAAGAGGAAAAGCTGTTGGAACGGCGCCAAAATGCGAGAGAAGCCATCGAAATTCGTCGACCCCCTGCGTTCACCTGTCGAACGTTCCCGATCGACTCGTGTCGAATCTGGCGGCTCCGCTTCGAGGAAACGTCTATCCAGGACGGAGGACCGCCAGATGAGAAAACGAAGGCAGCGTGATCCGCGCGTACTCGCCGATTACGTAAGCTCTTTACCGACTCTATTTGCGGAACGGTCGTCTGTTCGAAGGTGAGAGGTACGCCGACCTTCTCCGCAGACAATGTCCCACTAGTCAGTCGCTAGAGAAGCTAAGCTGTTTGCCGGGGATCGAACAGAGACGGCCAGGGCCGAGGTACCGTTCGATTTTCGAACGATGACCATTCGCCTCTTCGTCGTTGGGATTAACGCGTTGACGACCGCTAAAACTTCGCTGCCACTTACTCTGCCGCTTTCGCGATTTCACTTACGCGCGACAAATACACTTAGCTGCTGACGAGGAGACGTTAAGGAACTTTCAATGATCATTTGGGAATTACGGTATATTTTTTATCTTTTGGTACACGTTGGAACACGAAGTGAGAAATGGTAAGAAGAGATGACAATTTATACGTGAAATTACGATATATTTTTTTTGATCGCATAGTCGAGCGAGTTTACGATTAATGTTGAACCGGATGAACGAAATAGAAGCTGGGACGAGAGTTAGGAAACGTTTTTTGCTCGAGTTATGTAACACGACGGTTTTAGTGCGGGAACTTGTAACAAAAGCTAGAAAAGTAGAGAATAATCGAGTGAGATATTGGTAATTCTTCGGTTTCATGATTGCATCATGGTATCTGCGTGGCTACTGAATATTCAATTAATCGAACACAAGACGCAGTCGATATTTCACATTATATTTTTGGAATTTTTTGTTCTTTTTTGTATATTTTTAAAAGATTAACTTCCCAGTTGACGTCTGAGGTAATCTCACGGATGTTCAAGCGTATTCAAGTCAGAAGATTGACTCGACCGTTCGATTATATTAATATTCTGTTGCAAAAGAAATTCAGTCGTAGTTATACGAGTTTTGGAGATAGAAATGATCCGAGGCATTAGACCATAATCCGAGTTTCGCCTCTGATTATTATGTGTATCGTGCCCCGTCATCTAAAAAGTAAACAAGTTTCGGAATGATTCTTTTTATTACGGACCTCCAGTTCCGGAATTTATTCGTTCAATTTTACGGCTTTTACGTGTTCGATCAAAGAGCGGTCGTAGAAAACTCTGTAAGTGGCAAACAGGTGAAACGAGTTTTTCAGGGGAAAAAGAAACCTCGTGCATGAACGTAATCCGAAGTCCATGGAAAAGAAAAGTGTATCTAGAAAATAGTAAATAGAATAATAAATAGGAAATAATAAATAGAAAATTCTATACGTGCCATTTCTTGCGATTAACTGTAAAGAAAACTCAATGCTGCGTTCGTTTAAATGCACAAGCCAAGAAACGATTAGCAAATGTTTATTGCTGCTTACATCTTCTTCCACAGAGCCAACGTTATGACATCACATTCTATCGTTATCAACAATTATTCAGAAAGGAAAATTGCGCTTCAATTCTACGCTACAGCATTTTCCAATGAAAAATCAACATTTTTCTATCTTCGTACTTATAATGTTTTTTTACAAGCATTCTTCAATTATTCTACCAAATTCAGAAACCAAACTGTGGCAAAGTCAGTGACATTTGAAGGCGACAAATACTATACTTGTGTATAAAATGATCTTTTTTCTTCCTTTATATATTTTATATTTTATTTAATATTTTATTACATTTATTATTATCCTCGAGTCTTTACAATTTGTCCAGGGAAGGGGAAATTGCGCTTCAATTCTACGCTACAGCATTTTCCAATGAAAAATCAACATTTTTCTATCTTCGTATTTATAGTGTTTTTTTACAAGCACTCTTCAATTATTTTACCAAATTCAGAAACCAAACTGTGGCAAAGTCAGTAACATTTGAAGGCGACAAATACTATACTTGTGTATAAAATGATCTTTTTTCTTCCTTTATACATTTTATATTTTATTTAATATTTTATTACATTTATTATTATTTTCGAATCTTTACAATTTGCCCAGGCATTCGGTAAAGTGGTTTAACGATGTTGTGATCGTAGCACGAACTCCACTGGAGAAATAATAGTCGTCGGTGTAATAATCGCACAAACGCGATCGCGTGTTTTACGGAAATTTATTTATGTTTTAGGGAAATTGTCAAGAATTCACAGATAAAAATCAGAATAAAAAATCACACGAGCGTTTTCTTAACAGTGTTCTGGATCAGACGTGCAGAGAAGTGGCTTGGTTCTAACATCGAGACGACGATGATCCAATCTGGTATAATGTTATCTAAAGAACGATTAAGAAATAATCTACGTGTCTGACAATGAAATTTCTCGTTTTCGTTTGCTAACGTGTGTCATAAGGAAAGGAAAATTCTCGTTATCGATCGGCAAAATGCGAAGAACAGGTTGTTGCGACGAGCCACACCGAATGGATGCTCGTTTTTAACTCGTTTACGCGACAGAATCGAATAGTGTTCGTTCGAACGAAGTAGCTTGGCAACCAAGTACGTTCAATTGAATTCAATGAAAGATCGTCTCGAGAGAGGTTGTATGGTTGCGTATGGTTTGCTGTTCGTGATGCGTGTAACACCGACAGACTTTGTGCTCTTCGCCATCTTTCGCTGTGAAAATATACGGCCATGTATTCTCTTGAAGCGAATCTTTTTCGAAAGTGAAAGATAATTACAATTGTTACAACTTTCTCTGTCTACGTATTACATCGCGATATTTTACAGCAAACATTCTGATCGAAAGCATCGGTTCATCGAACAATGTTAATCGATTTAAATTAGGTTTGGCAAGGGGAACTCATTGCGTCAAAGCAACTTATTTTTTCGCTACCCGATAAGAATTTTCCGTATTTTTGTGCAATGTTACAATGTAATTTTTAGAATTTAAACGTACACAAGCGTGAAATTTTGCAAGTCAGAAATTACAAATTATCGATAAATTCACGTTAATGATATACAAGCAAATTGTACAAATTTAATTGATTGTCTCGCTTGACGTAAAATTGTAAAAAACTACCTATACAACAAAAGTCAGCAAATAATTTTATTCATAATTCCTTCTCACGATTGATATTGAATTTAAACAATTTTTAAAACAAATTCCGATACCAGTATACGAGCATGATGAAAAGGAGAAGGGATTTCATTTTCCGATCTAGTTCCAAGTCATCTTCAAGGGCGATTCAATTCAATTGGATGACGCCAAACTTGATTAAATTAAAATTGGATATCACATGCGATTAACTTACGGTATTATCTCGAGCTATGTGCGAGACATGGCTTATCCTCGATTCACTTCCACAACATATTCTATTGTGTGGACGAGTGAAACTGGAACATTTATCGAGAGGTTTTTTCAATTATTTGCAAACGATTATGCACTTTAAATATCCGAAATTTACTAGGAAACTATTTTGTCGTGGCTCTAATTGTTATATATTATCGATGAGATATATAATTTGCCAACAATAGATGACTTACAAAAATGTACCTATCTTACAGTAATAATGCGTTTATGCAAATAAAATTATTTGCTATAATAAATTATTTTTATTCTTCAATTATTCGTACTAAAAATCGTTAAAAAATATCTCGCATTATACTAAAATTTCATTGTGCTTTTTCTTTGCATATTACATACGTGAACTATTGAAATATTATAAACTGAATCAATATAATATGCTTCCGTAAATAAGATTATTTGCCACAATAAATTATTCTTATTCTTCAAGTATTCGTACTAAAAATCGTTTAAAAATATCTCGCGTTATACTAAAATTTCATTGTGCTTTTTCTTTGCATATTACATACGTGAACTATTGGAATATTATAAACTGAATTAATATAATATGCTTCCGTAAATAAGATTATTTGCCACAATAAATTATTCTTATTCTTCAATTATTCGTACTAAAAATCGTTAAAAAATATCTCGCATTATACTAAAATTTCATTGTGCTTTTTCTTTGCATATTACATACGTGAACTATTGGAATATTATAAACTGAATTAATATAATATACTTCCGTAAATAAGATTATTTGCCACAATAAATTATTCTTATTCTTCAATTATTCGTACTAAAAATCGTTAAAAAATATCTCGCATTATACTAAAATTTCATTGTGCTTTTTCTTTGCATATTACATACGTGAACTATTGGAATATTATAAACTGAATTAATATAATATACTTCCGTAAATAAGATTATTTGCCACAATAAATTATTCTTATTCTTCAATTATTCGTACTAAAAATCGTTAAAAAATATCTCGCATTATACTAAAATTTCATTGTGCTTTTTCTTTGCATATTACATACGTGAACTATTGGAATATTATAAACTGAATTAATATAATATACTTCCGTAAATAAGATTATTTGCCACAATAAATTATTCTTATTCTTCAATTATTCGTACTAAAAATCGTTAAAAAATATCTCGCATTATACTAAAATTTCATTGTGCTTTTTCTTTGCATATTACATACGTGAACTATTGGAATATTATAAACTGAATTAATATAATATACTTCCGTAAATAAGATTATTTGCCACAATAAATTATTCTTATTCTTCAATTATTCGTACTAAAAATCGTTTAAAAATATCTCGCGTTATACTAAAATTTCATTGTGCTTTTCTTTGCATATTACATACGTGAACTGTTGAAGTATTATAACCTGAACTACAATAATATAAGATACTTCCGTAAATAAGATTATTTACCAGAGCACATTATTCTTATCTTTTCCTCCACTTAAAAACATCTGACATTATACTAAAATTTCATTCTGTTTTTATTTATATATTACATGGACTGTTGTATTATTATGAGTATTTATTATTTTATTTACTATTTATTTATTATCATTATGTAGTATTATTAGACTCGTACACTATATACTACCTTGAAAAACATTTAAATGTAAAGTGTATGACTGAAGGATTAAACGATAATGCAATAAGCTGCTTACTTTACTAATATTTCATTCTCTGTATATTTTACACTGTTTATGTTGTATTCAATAGATAAGAAATATCTATTGAAATTTCATATTTAAATTTCAAACTTATTTAGGAAAAGACTGAAGAAGAAGTCGTGCAGGATTCACTGTAACGATAGGAAACAAGTAGATTAATCCTCTGAATCGTAGCTCTAACGTGACTAACCCTGGGTTAGGCTTGGCTAAAACTACTTAACGTGTGTAACCGTTATCCAGCATATTGAGCAATGGCCAAGGAAACGTGAGCTCTCTGCAGGAATTCTCGTGATTCCTTCGTGTTCTACAAAGTCATCTATTCATCAAACCGTACATTTTATTGGCTTTCATAAATGATCCATTACTTTTCTCACACGAGAGACAACATATATTTCTATATCTTAGCAAAAATTGGCCGTTTATCGAATTGTATGAATATTAACAAATTTACGAAAATTTATGAAATATGAAGAATTTTTATTTTAGAGATTATCGCGATAATGTAACGTATACACGGTGGTGAATATAAAATGGTACAAGTAAAAATGTATTTTCTAGTTTAATTAGTACGTTTAAAATCGCATTAACTGCAAGGCTATTTAATGGCGCTATAGGAGAATATACTACGCGCGAAACGTTAACGTTTCACTAATTTGTCGGGCAATTTCGTCTCTTTAATAAACATGAACGAACCGCGGATTTTGCTATTTAATAAATTATATTTCAGGCAATTGAAAATCAAACGACTCGTTGATAGATAATAAACTTTATTATTCGCATCGTGCAGTAGGTTGTTGTTCTTGTAACTCGTATGAAATTTCTAAATTAATATTATTATATTTGTTAGATATTGCGCGTTATATCGCGAAATGAAGTACATGGAAAAATATTTACGGCATTTATAATCTCATCTCGAGCTGCCAGACTTTTTGTACCCGCTTCACATGCTATTTATCGTATGCTAATTATCACACGATAATTTTGAAAAGTTGCGTCAATATTAAAAAATCGACGAATAAAAACAAATTGAAAAGAAACAGGAAAGAATGAAACTCATCGATATTAAAGGAAAATCACGTATCACCGGCATAGTTAAATTAAATAAAATTAAATACGGTACTATTAATTCGATATAGCAATGTTATAATACGAATAATATTCTATAACCATTATTATAATTAAATATAATCTAATTATATATCTACATAACATAACGTAATTGTCTTTATATAATCTGATAATTGAATATATTTTACAATATTCTATAATTCTATAATTCTAAATATCGTTTTCGATTAATAAAATAAAACGCAGGAACAATATATTTTACGCGATTAAATCTATTAATTTATGGAGGACGATCGTTTTCGAAAAATATGTAGTGATCGAACTATTGTATTTATAAACGAACTGGATGCACGATAATATGCACGATAAACTGTCTTTGAGCAAACAGATGGACTGCTAAATTTGTGTTATTAAATTTATCGCGATTCCCTATGAATCATCATCCATATCGGCTCCGAAATAAAAGATAAGCCGGTGGCCTCTACTTTGCACAAAAAGGAATTGTTTGTCGCGATGACTAGTCTATATTTGGCGAGTATTTTTTCTATTCTTTTTTTTCCGCAAGAGAAAAGTAAAATTCTAGCTTGGACAATGTGCTATGTAAGAAGTAGACGTATTTAACACGGTATATCAGAAATCGATATGATAAGTGAGCAAGATGTTGCATAATAAATCTTGAACGAAGAAAATAATTTCTTCCACTGTGAAAATGAGTGTACAATAAAATATGATATATTTAAAAAGAAAATATATGTACAATGAATGAGACATAACAGAATTCAATACGTTTACATTTACATTTTATTATATATTTGTATTATTATATTACATTATATTTATATTATATTATATTATATTATTATATTATAAATATTATATTTATTATATATTACATTTTATTATATATTTTTGTATATATACTTTTATTATATATTGTCGTAATTAAAATGCGTTACATTTTATTAAATACAACACGGGATAATTTTTTTGTTATAAACAGCGTCCTACTATATTTTTACTGTGATTGTCTCTATAATTGTGCTTAAGTATACTACGCTATAATCGTATTGAATAATGGAGAAACTTCAATCCAATTAATTGAAAATTACGAATTAAATTATATTACCTTTGACTTTGGAAAAAAGTAGAAAT